ACGCCTACACAAATACACTTATGATACACGATAACAGAGCTAACATAACAAGGTGCTATAGCATGGAACAAGTTCAGGATCTAACTATACCAATGAATCACGCAGCATTGTGATAATTATATTGGGTATACATGATCATAGTAATGTGGATGTTCACGGCTTGTAGAAATGCAAGTTCGTGTTTGGTTCCCAAAATCTCATGATAGAGAGAGTATAGTATGGGTTCTATCCATCACATTATGCCTTAACCCTCAATTAAGGCAAATTACTACAAAGTAGTCACTTATTACAAATACTATAGTACTTACACTTTTCATACGACAATTGCAAACAGATTAAAAATTTGGGTAATATATTATTAATACCCTTACCATGTGCCACATTCACATGATCGATGAGGTAGAAAATAATATTAATAGGCGTACAGTCTACTCTTGGTAGAAGGCTACTTTCAAAACAGTTAGGTCTTGGTAGAAGACTACTTTTTATACTAGTAGGAATCATAGGGATTTGCTAGGGTGCTCAAACGTTTTCAACTACTTTCAAACATTTCATACTTATACAAACTTTTCTCCAAATGTTTACAAGTCTGTACTTTCTAGTTTTACAAATCAAATACACATTAATACTTATGAATTCACCAACTGTATTGTTGATACTCGCTTTCAAAATAACTTGTATTTTCAGGTCACAAATAGATAGGTACGATGACCAGGTTTTGTGAAGACTGAGAAATCAAGACTCCTCTTTTATTTTGATTATTCATTATGTTGTCTTATCCTATGAAAGAATACTTGTAATTAAAATTATATTAGTAATGCAATGGATGATGTTGTTGCTTGTTTACTACTTTACATTGTTGTGATACACTACATGACGTCCTCCGCCCCAGAACGTTTCCACCGTTCTCGGTTTTGGGGTGTGACATTACTGTAAAGGTGCCAATCATTTAGCCAATTATTGCATGTTGAGGAAGAAAGATGAGAAGAAAAATAAGGTAGAAGATGAAGCTTACTATGCTGAAAGACTGGAAGAGGTTCGTGCGATGGCAAAGAACTTGTCATTGGTTGCCATGGGAGAATAAGATGATGATGGAACTTATCAAGCCTGGTCATCTGGATCAGATGATGAGGAGATGCGAAATCCAACACATGGAGCAATGTTTGCGAAGATGGAGGAGGAATCCAATGAGGAAGTATACGAAGTTAAAGGAAGATGCTTCGTATCAAAGGCTGCAGACAAATCTCCAATGACAACAAAGGTACGCAATATTCTTGAATCTTTTAATATTCCAGTACATGCTTATAATTCTGAATTGGTATCTTTTGATGAAACTGTTACTTATTTTGATTCAATTGTGGTGTCTGCTAGCAATGAGGCTAAGAAGCTTTCTACGCAGTTGTTAGAGACAGAGAATAAGTTAGAATTGAAAAACACGAAAGTAGATTGTTTAGAACTTCAAATTACAAACATTATGGTTGATAAGGATATTTTGTCAAGTGAAATAAAATTGTTGTTATCACAAAGAAACATTTATTGTAATTCAGATAAAAGATTGTATGGGAAATTAATAGAATTACATCATTCTTGTGAGATAAGTAAAGAACATCATAGAAAGTTATTGCCTTTTTTAGCTTACGAAAGAGCTAAGGTAGATAATATTTCGTATGATTGTGAGAAAGAAATAGTTGAATTTGACAAAGTTCTTGATGATAGATATAGATATAGAATAGTCAAAGTAGATGAATGTCTTGATGCTACTGAATTAGTTAAAAATGTAAATGATACTTTGACTAAGTCTGAACAAATTCACATTTTGAAAAAGACTGAAACTTCAACATCTGATGCTCAATATAATTTTGCTGATATTGATGATAATTATGATAATATCAGTGAAATTAGTGATCTTGAGGATGTTCATTATTCTCAGTTGTCTATTATTAATGTTGCATCTTTATCTAAAGGGAAAGAAAAAGTTAATGATTTGTTGGTTAAGAATGATACTTATCAACCCTCAACTTCGAAAGTTTGTGATTTGGACTTTGTGGAAATCAAAGACTGTCAAACAGATGATCGTGATGATGAAAAAGATGAGCAACATTCGAAGGAAAAAGTATTTTCAAAGAATGAAGAAATTCCTTGAATTGTAGTTGACCAGGTGTATGGTGGTACACAAAAGTATGACAAAGTGTTGAAAGAACAAGGTGCTCATTACCTTGAAAGAAATATTGTGGTGTATCCAATTTTCAAGTGTTCAGATGATGTCGTGTTTCCAATCCAAGTGTTCGTAACAACTGGAAATGTTGAAAATGTTAAACCAGAATTCAAGAAAATGGTAGAACAAGACAATTTGAAAACATCAGATGAAGGGTTCTTCGCAAATCAAAGCATAGTTGAAAACAACCTAACGAAGAATTCATATGTTTTTCAAAGACAAAAATCTCAGAGAAAATGGGTTGAAAAATCAAAACTTGAGAAAGAAGTCACCAAACCAATTTTTGAGGAAACAAAAAGTGGGGTCAAATTAAATTCAAAAGAATTTAAAGAAAAAATTGAAAAAATTTCGAAAGAAAATAATGTTTCAAAAAGACAAGCAAGAAAGAAAATATTTTGGCAAACAATCGAGTCTCGAAAAATGACAACTGAATTGTCAAAACCAGTTAAGTCTGTGAATTCAGACAATTATTTAGACAAAAAGAAAAATCCTGATCATTCAAGCAAAAATGTTTCTGAATCAAAGTCATCAAAATATATTTTCAAAGTGACAAATTCATTTTTTTCAAAAGTAAAACAAGTTTATCGTCCAAAAACTTATACTAAGTTTGAAGTGAAAACAACCCCAAAGTTTTCGAAAGTGTCAAAACCTAACATTTCAAGCAAGATTTCTGATAAGTCATTGAATTCTAATTCAACAAAGTTTTTCTCTCAACGTCAACATTTTAAATCAACAGTTGATACTTCCTATGTTGAGTCATTTGTTTCAAAACCAAAATTTGATTTTGTTCCTCAAAAGCCAAATTTTCATAATCATACGAAGAAACAAACATTGAAAGCTTCGCATGAAAGAGGGATAACTTCACGAAAGAATATTGATCACTGGCTCGAAGGAAGAGGAAGAATTTATCAATCAAGTAAATATTCAAAAAGATCAAATCAACGAAGCTAATGAGAAGTATGTAAATACTTCTTCAAATGGTAGTTCGTCATCAAAGGATTCGAATACCGTGGTAAAAGCATGGAAAGCAGTCATAAAAGCGAAGACCGAACAACCACAAACTCAGAATGCGAAGGGTGATATAAGTAGCCTTACGAAACAAACAAAACCTTATGTTTCAATCCCTACAAATGAAGATGTGGACATTATTAATAGTCTCAAAACTAAAGTTTGTGATTTAGTCAATAATTATTCTTTCAGATCTTTGTTGAAATCTAATTTCCAAGGACCTAAAAAGCCTTGGGTACCTAAATTCTTTCAATGATCGCATGTACTTTGTGACGAGCAATATGATAATAAATGGTACATCGATAGTGGTTGCTCTCGTCACACAACTGGGAAGAAGGAGAATCTTAGAGATTTTCGAAGCTTGAAAAATGTTGGAGTTGTTAAGTTTGGTAATAATCAAAAGTGTCAAGTCAAAGGATATGGGAAAATCAAGAATGGACAATTCACAGTGAATCGAGTTGCTTATGTCTAAGGTTTACAACACAACTTGATAAGTGTATCACAACTTGTGGTAGGCACTAGAAATCAAGTACTTTTTAACGAAAAATGAAGCATTATTTCGAATGTTTCCACAAAAGAAATTTTGTTGAAATCCAAATGGAAGGGTGACATGTTTACTTTGGACATCAATCCAAATATGGGTAAACCTGATGTATGTCTTCTTTCAAAAGCAACATCAGATCTGAGCTGGCTATGGCATCGAAGACTTTCACATCTCAACTTCAGAAATATCAAAAAACTTATTGTGCAAGATTTGGTAAGAGGTTTACCTGTACTTAAGTTTGATAATGATTCTTTATGTGTAGCTTGTAAAGGTGGCAAGCAACATAAACAAAGTCATCCGATCACAATTGATTCAAAAATTGTCGAACCACTGGAGCTTTTACATATTGATTTATGTGGTCCTTCGACTGTTTCAACTCTCAACAACAAACGGTATATCTTAGTTATTGTTGATGATTTTTCTAGATTCACTTGGGTTTATTTTCTCAGATTAAAATCCGAAGTGGCACAAATCATGATCAACTTTATCAAGAAAATGGAAATAACCTTGAAAAAGCTTGTTCGCAAAATCAAGAGTGATCATGGAACTAAGTTTAAGAATAATGTTCTTGGTTCATTTTTAGTGGAAAAAGGAATTTCGCATAATTTCTCTTCACTATACACTCCACAACAGAATGGTGTTGTTGAATGAAGAAATCGATCTTTATGCAAAGCTGCAAGGATTATGTTGGCATATGCGAACTTACCACAATATCTTTGGGCTGAGGTAGTATCCACTGCCTGTTTTACACAAAATAGATCTTTCATTCATTGACGTTTTAATATTACACCTTACAAAATTCTAGATAATCGGAAACCTAATGTGAAAATCTTTCATGTCTTCGGATGCAAGTGTTTTATTATGAATCTCAGGGATATCCTTTCGAAATTTCAAGCTAAAGCTAATGAAGGGATTTTCTTAGGGTATTCGCATAATTCAGTGGCATATCTTGTATTGAATAATCGTACACGAAAAGTGGAAGAAACTTTTAATCTTACGTTTGATGATTATTATATCAAACAATCAAAACAAAAATTTCAAAATCTTCCTATTTTGAAAGAAAATCAAGATGAATCTGAACCAATGCAAATGTTGGATATTGATTATGATTTGATATTTGGACTTTCAGATCATGCTGGAAATGCTGAAGAAAAAGTTCTTGATAATCATATCCCTGAAATTTAAATTCTTACTGATGATTCAACACCATCTCCTCAATAAATAGGCAAAAGTATGCAAAATGATCCAATGGAGGGGGAGCATTTGGATTCGAACACTCTGATGGAGGGGGAGCATTCTTTCGAGGGGGATAATGAGAGAGATAATGTAGATGTTGAGGGGGAGAGATTAAATTCTATTGATGAGGAGGAGATATTACAAAATAATGAAAATTATCATGATGTTAATGATGTTTGTTCAATTTCAGGTTTAGATAAGGTTGAATTGTACGAATACGCACCTTTGGACTTCGATCCAGCCTATCCACCAATGGAGAAATGGACAAAAGATCACCCGAAGGAGCAAATAATTGGTAATCAACAAGAAGGAGTTTTAATTAGGGCTCAAATTCGTGCAAATAATGAGGTATTAAATACTCATCAAGAGTTTTGCATGTTTAATGTTTTTATCTCTAAAATTTAACCAAAGACAGTAAAGATTGCAATGGAACACTCAGATTGGGTTGTTGCAATGCAATCTAAATTGTCTGAATTTGAAAGAAATAAGGTTTGGAGATTAATTCCTAAACCAAATGATCTTTCGATTGTCGGGTTAAAATGGATTTTCAAAAACAAAACTGATAAAGATGGAAATATCATTCGAAACAAAGCCAAACTTGTTGTTAAGGGATAATCTCAACAATAAGGAATTGATTACGAAGAAACTTTTGCCCCTGTCGCAAGACTCGAGGCGGTTCGTATATTTTTAGCTTATGCAGCTCACAAACATTTTGATGTTTATCAAATGGATGTGAAATGTGCATTTCTGAATGGAGAACTCGAAGAAACTGTCTATGTGGAACAACCCTAGGTTTTGTTAACAAAGAACATCCAGATTATGTTTATATTTTAGATAAGGCAGTTTACGGTTTGAAACAAGCACCATGAGCCTGGTATGCAACTCTTACTTCATTTTTGAAGCAATCTAAATTTAAACAAGGATCAGTTGACCCCACATTATTTCGTAAGAAAATTGGGAATCATCTTATGCTTGTTCAAATTTATGTTGATGATATTATCTTTGGCTCAACTGAACCTGCTTTGTCTAAAGAATTCGAAGACTTGATGACAAGTAAGTTTGAAATGAGCATGATGGAACAAAATTAATAATTTTCTTGGATTAAACATTCGTCAAAGCAGAGAAGGAATCTTCATTAATCAAGAAAAGTATATGAAGAATCTGCTAGAGAAGTTTGGATTAACGAATAGCACAAAGTTACGAGTTCCAATGGCAACTGGGATCAAACTAACTCCTTCGTTAGATAAAACTGTTGTTGATCTTACTTTATACAGAAGCATGATTGGATCTTTACTTTATTTA